AAGAAAATTAACTCTATCCCAGCTGAAACCAGGACATACCCCAGATATTGAAATATTCCAGCCATACAACTGCAACAGCTGGTTGGGGCAAGAATTGCATGCACCAAGAGGAGACATCATCTCCTTCCCAGTGTGGATGGAGCAAGGCTGTGATGGAGCAGCATGCAAGGAGGAGGCCTGATAAGGCCACTTGTCTGCACATCACTTTGGCAGGGGGGGAGATCCATGCCCCCTGTCAAGCTCTTCTCTGCCAGCCCCTCAGCATGCCTTCTCCAGTGGATCCACGTCAGCCCCGGTGCCGGCACGTGGCCAGCTGGCCTGCCGCCACCTGCCTGTCGCTGCCCGTCATGGGGCAGCGGTGACATCCTGGTCAGAGTAGGGGAAGAGGTGAAATAGTGTGCCACCGAATTGTTCTCCCCCAGCAGCGTGGTGCAGGTGATGTGGCAAAGCAGCAGCCGGCACCGAGCTCCTGGGGAAGGGGGATCCAGTCACCGTTCTCGGGAAATGAAGAGGAAGGAATATGCAGGACCACTTGCTGGGAAATGCAACAGAGTTGTGTGAAAAACCCCCTTCGAGCCAACAGGCAGGTCTCAGGAAGGGAGGCCAGCAGCGACGTGGCATCTGTCCATGCCCTGCCTCCTGCCCCAAGACCCTGGCCGGGGCACGTGCCTCCTGCCCTTCATCTCCCTTAGTATAATAAGCTTTTAACCACTCGCTAGCAGTGTATGGGGTTTGGTAACTGCTGTGGGCATGAGAGGTTGCAACGTAAGCTGCCCTCTGCTTTGGGATTACAGGTCCAAGGGCCAGCAATTCTCCTGGTACCCTGCAAGCAGAGAAGGTGCTTCAGAAAAGAGCTTGAATGTCAGCCGGCACCTCTGGGCGATGCCCCAGGCAGGAGGAGGAGGAGGCAGTCCCACGAGCGCTCACCTCCTTTGCTGCTGAGGAAACGGGACTTTTCCTCTAGTGGTGCAGATGAGTGTCTGAAACTGTTTAATTCGAGATCTGTTATCCAAAGCCTAATCACTGTGATGCCCAAGGGGTTACAAAGAGAGATACCCTTATTAAAAAATGCAGTAAATACCTTCTATTTTTGTTAAGCCCTAGTGGGACAGGCTGTGCCTTGGTTCCCTGTATGAGTGAAGTCTGTCCCTTCACAAACCCTGCGTGCATATTCCCAGCATCGACATCTTCCACTCCCTCCCTCTCGCTTGCTCCCTCTCTCTCAGATGATGCAGAGTGCCAGCAAGTCCCTCAATGGTGTCATATCTGTCCTTTTTATTCATTGCAGGGTTTATTTTTAGCCTGAAACAACTGCTTCCTAAAAATGGAGTTCCTAATGACACGGGAGCTGGACACAGCTATGTAAGGTATCCGGGGCTTGGCCTGACAGCTTCTCCTGTCTGTCTCTTTGTTGTAAGCCCAGGACAGCAGAGTTTGCTGCTCCCCACCAGCCTTGCAGAGTTTGGACTGATCACTAGGGAGGCAGCAGAAAGAGAAACTCGGTTCGAACTTTGCCTGGAGCCTTTGGTCTCCCCCTCTTCCCAAATTAAGAAGGAGAGGGACGTTTACCTGCCCTCTGCTGCACTCCAAGGGCTCCCCTATGAAAGCGATTTGCTGGATCCTGGCAGGTTTTTACCTGCTTTTCTGCTGCAAAGCAGAAGAGGGACTGAACTTCCCCACTTACGATGGGAAAGACCGAGTAATAGACCTGAACGAGAAGAACTACAAGCAGGCCCTGAAGAAATATGACATGCTCTGCCTGCTCTTCCACGAGCCCGTGAGCTCTGACAAGGTCTCCCAGAAGCAGTTCCAGATGACAGAGATGGTTCTGGAGGTAAGCACTGCTGCATGTCCCAGCAGGGGTCAATGCCACAGCGTTTGGAGCTGTGGAGAGGAGCCACAGGACAGGACAGTCAAAGGGTCTTGTGCAGGGGTGGGGGATTGAGCACAAAGTTTGGGTTTGTTTACTTGGATCTGAGTTAGCCCCTGAGCTCTGCAAAGCCCAGGAAAAAGCCTCTTTTGCGCTCTTCTGCATTGTTTGCTGGGAAATAGTCTTTCTGGATTGCGCATCAGAAACCCAGGCAATAGTGAGTAACCTTGCAAACCTCAGCAACATGAACTCAGCTCAGCCAAGCTTTCCCAAATCACAGCAGAGATCTGAGGCCATAGCTTGAAATTTTTAGATCCTTTCTCATTCTGTGCAAGCCAGTATCCCCCTTGTATTCTGTATTCAGTCCCATTTTCTGTCCGACTAGGAGCAATCAGCCAAGAAGCCTTACCAAACTGCGCTGCAAACAGGCGTCCTCGCTCCCCATTTCAAAAGCCACCCGTTGGTGCAACATTAAATCCCTTTTTGTTTTTCTGACACTTGGTTGCCTGCTTGGAATCAGTCTGTAGCCGTGTGCTAATGCAACAATTCACTTCTGTGCTGGAAAAAAAGTGTTGTTAATTCTTTGGTGAAAGAATGATTAATTAATCCTCAGTAAAATAAATCATGGTAAAATTACAAAGTAGATTCATAGCATTCTTTCTTGTAGTGTAGCTGTAATCTAGGGAATCATACAGCGGCAAGCCTGGATTGTTAGGTGCTTGTTTCCTACTAGGGGCTTACAAATATTCCCTCCTAACTAAAAGACACATTTGGAAGGAAGGTGAGAATTGCATGAGAAACACATAAGCTTTATTTATGTTATCCAGAGAGAAAATGCATTGCACCCCTAGGAGTATATCAAATGTGAATTAGAAACTACGCTTGCTGAGGGCTAAGACCTGCAAAAGTCCAATGTCAAGTTCAAAGTCTACTGACCTCCTCAGTAAGCCTGACAACAAGAAAGATTCAAAAACTAACTAGATTTTACTCACCTGTCAGGAAACAGTTACTTGCTCCAGGTGAGCAATCAAATAGCATTTGGCAAAGGAAAGAAAAAATAACACTGGAACTCCAGTTGAAATGTTTGTGGTTGGTAGTGTAATTGCATTGCTATTGAATAGGATAGCTATTTCGTGCTTGATAGGTGGCAAGCAGTTAGATACATATTTATAGAAACCTGACAGAAGCAGGTATCTGTTGTGTACTATCAGGTTTAGTCCCCATGACACCTATACCCATGTTAACAATCAGCCATATCAAGGGTGCAATGGCTACAATACAATTTGGCTTAAAGCTTTTATTTTGCAGGGTTTGATTCAGCAGTGAGCACATTAGCTTAGGACTCTGGTGATTTGGTTTCCAATTGCCTCTCTGCCGTGGATTTCTTATGTGACCTTGGGCAAGAGACTGAGGATTAGATCCACAGCAGACTTTACATAATTGTAGTGCTCCAGTCCACTAATGCTCAGCTACTGGCTAACCATGCCACGCAGGAACCGGCCCTTGTGGCTTTGACCTCAAAGTTCCCCAAGCACTTGCAATGCTGATTCAGTGCATGTCTCGAAGTTTCACAGTCGTGTGTCCTGTCCCCCCTGCGACCGGGAACTGCAGCAGCAGCAATCTGACAGCCCAAGCACAAAAGCAATCTGCAGACTGAGCACTCCTTTGCCTCTGTCACCTGAGAGAATTAAATGGGGAGAAGGTCTTAGGAGCCAAGAGACAGTATCCTGCATGGGACACAGCCCAGCAAGGTGCTGGTGCTCCCAGTTTCTGTACTAACTCAACCATGGGAGCACTTGGGAAAGGAGCAGGCAAAGCAGGTTTTAATCTGCTGCCTCTTGTGACAGCATGCACCTCCCTCACCTCAAGCCATAATGTGTTGTGGGGGTCACTCCCAATCTCCCCTGCCAGAACTCATCCAGCTGTGGGACTTCACCACATGTTCACCGGGCCAGGGAGAGGGAAACAAATGGCTTCAGTGGCTCCGTGGCTGAGGTGTGGAGCTATTCACCTGGGAGAAGAACTGCCTGGGATCGATCTGCCTGGAGGCAGTCAGCAGCTGAACCCAGCTCTCCTGTAATTTGAGCAAGTACTTGGAGGAGTGAGCTGCTGGGTAGGCACAGGAGCAGTGACAGAGCCTCTCCTTCCAGCTAAAACCAGGAAAAGTTCACTCAGGAAGGCTTTATGTATCTGATTTCAGTAGAGGGTTCAGGGCTCTGAGTGCTGCAGGTCCTTTATGCCTGAAATAAGCTATATAAAATGCAAACACTCTAGCCCTCAGTTTTCCCTGCCTGCCCACCTTTGGGGGTTCCTGGTATAGGATACTGCCTGTGATAAGCTGCCTTTCTGGAGCACCTTGCGTTTTTCCATCTTACTGTACTAAGAATTTACCTGCTGACTCACAAGGTGTGTTGCTTCCACAGCCGGGAAAACATCATAACCTTAGCCCCCCATCCATAAAATGGCACTGGTCTCCATCATTAGGAATAATAGGGAACCTTCATCGAAGACACAGGCAGGTATGGAGCTAAGCAAAGATCTGAGCTGCGTGGTTATGTCCTATGGGCTGATAAACATGAGTGTGTGTGCACATGGGAGGGAATGGGCTTAGTCCAGAAAACCGCCAAATAGTCCACCCTTTCTCTTTCTCCCACATGCACCTTACAAGAAATTTATAATTCCAAAGACCAAAGACCTGAAGAAATATCTTAGACACCAAGAAAAGAACAGGAGAGATCCAATGGCCAGGTTCCAGCAAATTCGCTAGGAGAAACTCCCAGATATGCCCAGCTAGTAAACAGCATGGCATGTTGCTGAAGCAAACAAAAGTCCCAGTTCCCTCTTGACTCTAAATCCAGACCCTGCTTTAGGCTTCAGCACATGAAAAAAAGCCACAGCTACAAAGCACTGAAGGGCAAGATGAGTGTAGGCAAACTCACCTCTGACCCAGGAATGAATTTGTGTCCTTTGACCATGAGCATGATTTCCTTGAAATATGTAGCTCATGGTCAGCAACAAGCTCCTACTGGGGCTTCTCCCATGAGTGAGGAGTCCATGAGGCTCACTCTCACCTGAGTCCTTTGGTGTCTAACAGGGGTTGACTTCATGTGGTGACATTTCCTTCGTTCAGGCCACTTCAGTCTCTTTCCTCCCAAGTCCCTGGTCTTCAGGAAGCTTGCAATAGCTTTATTATTTTGTATTCAAAAACCTGGTAGACATGGCACTTTGGGACACAGTTTAGTGGGCATGATGGTGTTGGGTTGCTGGTCGGACTGGTGATCTTAGACATCCTTTCCAACCTTAATGATTCCTAGTTTTTACTTTCACTAAAAAATAATCCAGCCACCAAGCCAGGAAACATGAAATTATTACTCTGCCCTAAATTGGTTTAGTGGTGGACTTGGTAGTGTTAGGTTAATGGTTGGACTGGATGATCTTAAAGGTCTTTTCCAACCTAAATGATTCTATGATTCTATGATTATGCCTGAGATCCCTGCCTCTGGAAAATTTGGTTTAAAAGGGTGAACAGCTAAAAAAATTTTTAGGGGAGGCAGCTGACAGACAAACCTGGGAGGAGAGAGAAGAGAATCACAGGGGTCTCATATCCTTAGGAAATCAAGCTGATAACCTGACAGCACGTGGGTAAATTTAAGTACGTATTTAAGGACTTTGCCAAACATAACTACAAACAGCAGACTGAGAAGAAAGTGATATGATAGGAAAAATTTCCTTCCCAAGACAAAAGCCAGCATGCAGGACTGACTGACTGTGTCAAAAGCTCAGAGTGCACACCAGCTACCATTGTAATGATGCCATTGTTAAGCTGATATACAGTGGGACAGCACATAGGGTCTTCAGCTGCCTGAACCCAGGTGTACTGGGAACTGTGACCAGATTGCCACGCAGCCCAGGGTCCCTTTCCAGTTTAGAAAGGGAATGAAGGTGAAGACCATGATGAAGCAGTCCTGACAGCTCCTGCCACCCACACTGCTGGGTGCTACCTGGTGAGGACAGGGTCTGGGGACAACTGAGCCCCTCTGGGAGAAACAGCACCTTCTTTGGACCAGCCTTTTGCATGGCAACAGCTCCAAGGATGGGAGTGCCAGCTCCTCAGGTTGGGGTGGGAAAGCCAGTGGCTGTTGGGTTAGTCTGTCAGGAAAACAGTCAAAGCAATGTTTGAAGATGCAGCTGCCTACTGCTTTCTGGCTAGGATGGAAAAGGGTTGGGGAAGAATTGTAATAAGACAGCCCAGGGCAGAGACAGCATGAGCACAGTCTGCTTCACAGTTCAGGTTAAAGGGCTCTCCTTTGCTTGCCTTTCTCCTATGACTCCACTCTGCACCACTGACTACTGAAAAGCACCTGCAGCTTCAGTGGGGAAAAGCCTCCATACAGGGCAACACCAGAGGTTGAACAGGCAGTCATGGAGCTAATAGTAGCTATTCCTGCTCTGTGGTGATGTTTACAAGAGCCCTGCATGCCCTGTGAGGTGAGTACAGTGAAGAAGCAGATGAAACAGAGGGATCTGGACAGGCTGGATCAATGGGCCGAGGCCAACTGTATGAGGTTCAACAAGGCCAAGGGCTAGGTCCTGCACTTGGGTCACAACAACCCCATGCAATGCTATAGGCCTGGGGAAGAGTGGCTGGAAAGCTGCCTGGTAGAAAAGGACCGGGGTGTGTTGGTCAACAACTGGCTGAATATGAGCCATCAGTGCGCTTAGGTGGCCAAGGCGGCCAACAGCTTCCTGGCTTGTATCAGAAATCGCATGGCCAGCAGGACGAGGGAAATGATCATCTCCCTGTACTTGGCACTGGTGAGGCCGCACCTCCAATACTGTGTTCAGTTTTGGGCCCCTCAGCACAAGAAAGACATTGAGGTGCTGGAGCGTGTCCAAAGAAGGGCAACATAGCTGGTGAAGGGTCTGGAGCACAAGTCCTGTGAGGAGCAGCTGAAGGAACTGGG